AAACTTTCTTGGACATTTAAAGAAGACTTGAGCTTTAAGGAACTTCGCTGAGTGAGACGGTGGTCTCTGAGGTAAAATGCCTATAGTGTCAGTACCAACTAGTTTGTACTACTTCTTAGTATCCATAGTATTAGTAATAGCCTATCTTACGTAGGTATTGTAAGTAAACTTTATAATAGTGCAGAAGTGCCATGCTTGTAGTTTAGCATCTTTGGTTGTTTCCTTCTCTGATTGGTGGAAATGTATCTGCAGAATTCACTAGGATTTTTGCAGTTATACATGATTATTTAAAAAATAAGATGACATAATGAGGGCTTACGACTTCAACAAAAGCATATTCCACTGATTAACATCCTTGTAGCTCACAGTAGGTCTGCCTGTAAAGGCTTAAAAGTTATCAGTCCCCCCCCATAGAGAAAATGAATGGGATTTTTACTTCTGGAGCCCAAATGCTGCACTCTATTTTGGTCTGTTTCTGTTCCAAAGCTAACAGACATGGACTAGAAGCCACAAAACTCTAATTTCATGTCATAAATCTCATATACAGGATGAACAGAAAAGCAAGAAGACGGCCACCACCAAGAGAAAAGGATCTCAAGAGCACCAGCAGGAGCATCAGCCCCAGGCTCAGGAGACGAGAGAGGAGAAGGAGGAAGAAGAAGAGCAGGAGGAGGCTGAGGAGGAGGAGAGGCTCCTTCGTAGTGAGCCAAAGAGACACAGCCATCATCACCACCACCATCACCACCACCACCGCTCCAGCACCAGCCGACCAACAGAGCCCCACAACAAACACCAGCAGCCCGCCGACATGGAGCTGCTTCCTTCTAAAGACACTTCGTTCGCGGAGTTCCGGAGCAGGCGCACGCTCCCGGTCGAGGGCGACCCGGACCAAACCGAGGTCTACCACAATAGGACTACAACTCAAAGGGACCATAACCACCACCATCACAACCACCACCACCGACATCACCACCACCGCCGCGGGACCACGGACGTTCAGCCGGATTATTCCCACCACGGGCAGCAGGACTACGAGCTGGAGCACAACGAGCACAACAGGCAACAGAGACAGTCGAGCCAGCTGCGCTCGCACAAACAATCGCACCAATACGCTCACTCGCACCACAATGACCATCACTACCAGGGACGTGAGCGGGACAGGTGCGTCGAGACAGAGGAGTGGACTGAAGACATGTACATTCATCGCTGAGATGGACGTTGTTTTAATGCTGCTATGTGAAATGCTGGCTACCATGTACTCAGGACAACATGGTTTCTCTTTCTTTATCCATTCTGCTACGTTAACGCCTCCTCTGGTCCACATCTAATTTCCTTGATTTTCAGTTTTCATTCATATAATTCTGTGTTCCTCGGGCTTTAGGTTCGTGTCTTGCTATCAGGGCCTGACTACTGCATTTGTAAAAGATTTCAGCACATTGGTCCTTCCAATCCTGAGTATGTGGTTACATCTTTGCTTGTTACTGTTCCTGTTTCCTGATATGTACATATGCAAACTGGTCACGTCTCATACTGCTATGCTCTTACCCATGTTTATTTGTCGCCCCTGAGAAAGATAACTGGATATTTTGACTTCTGATTATTTTTTATTTATTTTTTTTCAGTTGGCCTTTTGTAGAACGTGCTGCCACACTAGTGGTAGATATGAAAATATTAAGAATATAATACGGGACTAGCCACACAGAAATCATCATTTTGATATTTTCATGTCTGAGAAAATATTGGGATTAAATGGGTTAATTATGCATTCACATTGTGCTGCTATTGGCTGCATGAAATATTGGCAAACTAAAGAATTCTCACTTGGGCTTTTCACCTCAAGGATTGGAAGGTCTGTTTTTTACCAACATTCAAACAATGACAGTCCAGTTTAGTTATTTTTTATGCATTTTTTCCACCTTATTTTTAACATAGGAGTGCTTCCCTTTGTAATTGAAATGCGCAAGGCTTCTGGGGTAATTCGCTTCCGGTTATTTTAGCTGTGCAAAAACAATCTGTTATGCTGCTTGATATTGCAAACTGGTGTTTGTTATCATATCATTTTAATTGATCAAAATCATAAATGCGCTGATTTGTATTTCAAAGAAATTTGTTTTCAATAATTTTATTACACTTTTTAGTTTTAGTTATCTCGCCTAATGAATCAGAAGTCTTGCACATTTACATAAAAATGCTTAAAAAAAAGAAATAAGGTGGATATTTTGGATGTTAAAATATTTTCTGTTATGCTAGTTTAAAACACAGAAACAACAAGACATTTGTAGGTTGATTTAACTGAAAAGTATAAACATTGTGGCTCTGTGGCACAGCACAAAAAATCATTTATTTGACCATCTCAACCAGCCTGACAGCAACGGCTGTCATCAGTATTATGTATTTGTCTGACCAATGGCAGATGGGGGGAGTGCTCAAGGCACCTGTCTGAAAAATCATTATGCTTTATAATTCCATTTAGTGACACTACTAAGAGCAGTTTTAAAGTCCGCATAAATGACTGTTTGCAATCTATTTTCCATAATCTGACACATCTCAGAGGGACACAGAATTTCAGTGAGATTCAAAGCAGAATATTTATTTTCATATTTCAATTTCACGTCGGCTTTAATGTATACATAGTTCAGTGTTTAGTTTGGCCTGGTTTTGTAGATTGTATGTCACAAAAATCAATCCAGATTTTATTCACTAAATTTCATACAAAGGATCATTTGTGTCAATACAAAGACCTTAGCTGATCACATCAACTCTGGAGCCATACTATGTGTTATTTGCTCGTGCAAAATTATTTCAAATGAACACTTTTAATGTTTATGAACACAGTTTGATTCTGTTCCATATTTATAATACAGGTGCTTCTCAATAAATTAGAATGTCGTGGAAAAGTTCATTTATTTCAGTAATTCAACTCAAATTGTGAAACTCGTGTATTAAATAAATTCAATGCACACAGACTGAAGTAGTTTAAGTCTTTGGTTCTTTTAATTGTGATGATTTTGGCTCACATTTAACAAAAACCCACCAATTAACTATCTCAACAAATTAGAATACTTATTAAGACCAATAAAAAAAACATTTTTAGCCTTCTGGAAAGTATGTTCATTTACTGCACATGTACTCAATACTTGGTAGGGGCTCCTCTTGCTTTAATTACTGCCTCAATTCGGCATGGCATGGAGGTGATC